CGCCAAAATTATTCACATAAATCAAAAAATTTTGTACACAAACCCAACTGTCATATTTCATGCGTTGCCAATTATTTTCAAACGTGATCCGTATCGTTTCAGCAAAGATGATTCAGATCATTGAGCGGATCGTGTTTGCTGAAACGCAGCTAATGTCAAACATTCGTTTGGAAACGTCAGATGACAACTGACATCAATCAGAGTTGTCAGGGCGCAAAATATAAATAATGACCCTCGTTTAAGTCAGTCGGTTCAAGAAGGTAAAGATACCTCCTCTACACATTTTTAGTAATGATGGGAGACTTCTGGACATTCTACCCATTCTTATATTAAAAAGTTTTTTTTAGTATTTGGAACGTAAAACACAAAATCTTGAAAATAAATGCAAATAGTTTCACAGTTTTTGAAACTATATTGAAAAAAAACAGGATTAATGGTGTGTATAGTTTTATGGAGTTTATTGGAATCTTTGCGTTCGTTTTTTTCTTTAAGAAGTTATTCTTAAAATTGATATCATGACCTATGGTGCGTTGTCTATAAAATTCATCGGCACTGCAAATCTGATCTCTGAATCGTTTTAAAGATAAAAATTGTGCAGAATATGTTTACATTTCACAGATGAACTCTTGTTTATTAGAAAATTTAGAATTAATAAAATGTGATTTGATTTAATTAGAAAAGATAAACAGTTATACTAAAAAATTTTATTTATTTTTGAAGTGAAGATGCATTTCAGATGATAGCGTTATATTTTAATGTAGTTTATATATTATTTATGATGAAAAATCTAAATCTGTAAGTTAGGTGTGGTTTTTAAAACGCCCATAATATATATTAAAATAGTTTGATACGATAATCTATTTGGACTATATGGCGATTTTTCGAAATTTTGAAAGGGTATCGCTTTATAAGGTATTGATTATTGCTCCTACAAAAGATTTAATGGAATATTTGAGATGATGTTATAGGTGTGTTCAGTATTGGACTACAATTACATTCATGGAACTGCCGCAAAGTACATTGAGGAAATAGGCAAACGATTGACTTTTGTCAATTTTTAAGATCAAAAGTATTATGCAAAAGTCAGGACGAGACACGGCAGCTTATAATACATGGTGGAAACTTGATTTTACTTTTAAATTTTATTTTTATTTCAATTGCAAAATTGATTATAGAAAATTGGAATATTTTATACTTTCTAGTTTTTTATTCTATTACTTTAGTTTGAAAAGCATATTACCAATCGAATTAAAGTAATATGCCAAAAATAATCAAATTATTATCAACACAAATTCAATAAGAATTTCATTATTTCAGAAATCTAATGAATTGGAGATGGTCATACAAAATCCTGTCACGACAATCATGAGTTCGTCTGCAAAAATATCAGAAGAATATCCAAGTAATAAGCCCTCCCAAAACTTGGAAGCTACTAATAAAGCTAGTGTCACAACACAACAATCACTTTCAGCATTGTATTTGTCGAATATTTCTAATCCATTAAGTACATTACACAATCTAAATATGGGATTGCGACACACTTCCGCTATCGACCACTATCGTGTACAATTGTACAACTATGCGATTAATATGGAACGGTTTCGATATCCTCAATATAATCCATCTACTGCAATCAGAGCTGCAAATTTTTCTAGCAGTAGTAACTCAGCATCTGCAATAGTAAATGCAACGGCTTACTTACACAATGGTCAGTTTTCATTACCTATATTTCCACAGCGTTTCTTTCCGCAAGAAGAACCAAAGCCACAACATAGTTACATAGGATTAATTGCTATGGCTATACTCAGCTCTCCTGACTCAAAGCTCGTTCTATCAGACATTTATCAGTATATTCTAGATAATTATCCATACTTTCGAACGAGAGGGCCAGGCTGGCGCAATTCCATACGTCATAATCTTTCTTTAAATTACTGCTTTATTAAGTCTGGTCGAAGTGCCAATGGTAAAGGCCATTATTGGGCAATACATCCTGCCAACATAGATGATTTCCGAAGAGGCGATTTCCGCAGACGAAAAGCACAACGTAAAGTTCGAAAACATATGGGTGAGTTTCGAAAAGTAATAAAACAAAATTTTATTTTTAATTAATTAAATTATATAAAGTCAAGTACGACATTGGGTCAGTTGGATAATTAACACTGCGTCTGAACTTTAAATCAGACAGGGTAAGGCCTCTATTCTTGACATTTGTCTAAAAATTTTAGAAAATAATTAAATACAAGAAATATTTTCAAAAAGATGATGGGTATTTCGCATCACTTTAAACTCCTGCATAGACAGTCAAAAATTTAATTATTTGAAAATAAAATTTTGTTGTTTTACAACAATTTAAAAACTTTTTTAATAAGAAAATAGTTTCTTTCGTAATAATTAACTTTAAAAATCAAATTTAATATAGAAACTATTACAATTCATTATTTTAGGTCTCTCTGTAGACGATCAAGATAATGATTCACCGAGTCCACCACCATTGGACTTAACTTCACCGCCGTCTCCACAGCCAATATCATCGGTATCATCAATACCATCAAACACTTTTCCGTACATGCAACATAATCCACCAATTTCGACTTTTCGGCAACAGCAAGCGCGGTACTATCAACAGCAGTTTCACTCAGAAGTTTCTAACAAGATATCGAACCAAGGTTCTGATTCATCAAAGCATTTAGTAAGTGCAGCTATTCATAATTGTATCAAACTATCTCAAAATACAAATTCTATTAATCAGCAAGAAGTCAATAATCTAATTGAGGAAATTGAGCTAGAACAACCAAATGACGCGAGACCTTACTTCGACGTGCTTCACAGTCAAGTCGTGCGACATCAATTCCAAAACACTGCTCCAAGCTCAGCTGATAACTTATACACCAAACCGCGAAAAAGACAGTTCGATGTTGCCTCATTGTTGGCACCGGAGACTATAACTAATATTCCGAATTCTGTTGGAATAGCTAAAACAGAGCACACATTCATCACAAAAGTAAGCGTGCAACAAAGTATTCAGCAGAATATAATGGTGGCACCGCAATTCAAGCAGCCTCTGCAATCACAAAGTATAAATGCCGAAGAGGATATCGATGTTGTTGCCAGTGATGTGGAGCACGAGAACAATATAAGTCTCCAGGATGATTTTTAACTAAATAATGCTCATATTGTCTGAGTATATATATATATTATCACACATCAAAACCAAAAATGAACTAACTAAATAATGGACTATAGGATATATGCGGACCGTCGCAATTGGCTTTAATGCAGTTTGAAACTATGGTTTCGAAAGTTTTAAATTTAAATGATAAATAATGTTTACATAGATCAACTCTTTATTTAAATTCTTCATTTGAAATCACGTTGAAGAAATTATCCAATATATCCAATAATAGCCAATATATCTTTTAATGTACAACAAGGCAGTTTTTTTGCAGAATTGCCTTACCAAACTTATTAGATGCCGGTGTAGCAAGGTTTTTAATACCGTTCCGCACTTCTTGGATTTCTATCTAGAACTTTCGTTAACAAATGTAGGATGCGGAAGTATTACTGATTCGTTATCATATAATTGAACGAAATATAGTATATTGATTGCTAGATATGGAAGGTAAATTCATTTGTCCATACCATTTAAGGCTGAGGTATTAATATTTGTGGAGGGCAGAAAGCATATTTATCAAAATGACTAAATCTGTACATATCAAAATCTAACATGTTTTGAACAGGATAAAGAATTATTTATGTTATTGTTACTTCAATGTATGAAAGTGAAATAAAAAAAATGCTTAATAATTATTGATATAAATATATAACATGTAGATTGGAAACTTAATGCAACTTTCTTTAAATATATTGAAATTTTGACGAGAATAAACTTTCGATTGACCCTTCAACTGAATGTTCCAAATATATCTAAGATGAAAGTCAATGTTTGCTCTGATTCTGCTTTCCGGTTTATGTCTTTTAACCTGTAGACATAATCTATAGTGTGGATCTTTTGTAAATGATATTGAAAATTGGATTTTAATTGTGTTTAATTAAAATGTTTTACGGTCTTAGACAAATATGCAAAAACTTCAATATTTTCAACTAATTCATAATATTATTTCGGCCATTTCGTCATTTTTCATTCTATAAACTATAGGCACAGATAGCGAAATCATAAGCGGGCTTGGATCAGCTTGGAAAAATAAGTAAAAGTTTGTATTGGTTGAAACGCTCTCTCTCCCAACACAAAAAGATTATTCACGCATAATATTTCATTCGAAGGTTTTGTTAAATTTATTTTTATACTACTCCGTCGTATTGCTCAATAGTCAAACTTTGATTAGCACTTAAGTTTCTTGCATAAATCTAAAGAATTGAGGCTATCGAACTTTCAAACATGAATGTAAGAATAATGAACCTTTCCGTTCAAATTCGAGTGGCCGAAAACAGGAGTTTTCTGCATTTTTGCTTTGGGGTTGTTGTTCATGAATCCCGTACAAGTCTTTCTTTTTTTGCTATATTGCTTTATAGAGGATGAGTTAGTGTTAAAATCGTCAAAATTATATCCAAGTATCTCGATTGGAACTTGCAAATCAAAACAAAATCCTCCTAATAAGCATGTAATGTACACATATACTACTCTTAATACTAATTTAGGAGTCATTACATATTTTCTTCCTTGTAACAATGGTTTGAGATTACATCATTCTGCCAAAATTTTTGAAATGTGATGAACTGGGAACAGTTTCATCTAGATCCTGTATTAAATACAAAACAATATGTTAAAAAATAATATAAAAGAAATGCTAAATATTAGTTGGCTTTCATATTCCAAACATAATTTTTTAGTACATTTTCATATTTGATATTTGTGTGGAAATTTCTAATTATAAAGAAAATCCATTACTGTTCCAATCTGCATGCTACAATCTGATCCACAATCTGTATATGTGGCAGATAATATATATACAAAAAATTATCAGAGAGAGTTTTCTAATGTTGTGATGACATGTATTCCAATGCAGACATCATGAAACAGAAGACAGAAAACTACAATAGAATGATTATACCATATTCGTCATGGATATTTGATTGCACATCTTGGAAACGGAGAAACATTTTATTTCCCGCTAGAGAGCGTACAAAATATTGTGTTTGTGTCACCACACGTAATATGTATGTACATGCTTTTGCCAAAGTCAATATTATATCCGCAAGTATCAAAATATGTATGGAATGCTACATCCAACAAATTCAAATGTCCTCGCGAACCATTCATACTGATGACATACTAAAGACATTTGTATTCGTTTGAAGCATTGGGCCGAATTCTACTCATTAATGTCAAAGGTCCACCTTCTTTTACTAACATTGATTAACATTGAGAAACAACACTGTTGGATGCCTCTGTTAGCTACCCTCCGAGACAAATTTAAACATTATTTGTTTTAGAAAGGTTGCAATCTAATAAATTATTTGTGAATAACTATATATAAGAAATTTTACATTTATATATTTGTCAAAGGAAAGAAACAACTCTTACTTGCTGAGCAAAAAGTATTCATACGACATACCATAATTACGAATGCAATGTTAACCGGTAGAAGTTCATTCATTAAAATATTCAATGGACTTAGAGTAGTTCCTCAAATATTGCTGCCAAATGTTATTGAAGCAACTATTTTGTGGAGAAGTGGAGAGTGTAAAGAAAAAGCCTATTCTGATACCACATTTAGCTCTTAAGGACTTACTATTGACTTAAAGAGATTGCAATTTCATGTTTGTCTTGCATTCTTAATAACAATGCACAATTTTAATCTCTTGAGGTGCGCAGATTATCACTTACCCAAACGAAAAATTGATTTGTTTTTATTTAAAAAGCCAAGTCAATCAATCTTGTATATTCCCAAAGCACTTTAATACAACAAATTTTATTTCAATCTGATACTATCTTTTTTCTAATTTTGTTTTCGTCACCTTCAATTTTTGGCTTTCTATATTAAAATAGAAAGATTTTTGTTAAATAGAATGCGGAATTAGACTGAGAATCGCAAAAAATGTTTTATAAGTTCTCATATATTAGCATTTGTTTTCTACTCTCTATGTACCAGTCAGAGGTCCAACTATTTTCCGCTATAAAAGTAATTACATATGATGCAAATATATTCAAAAATTTACCAGATTGGATACCTACAACGCACTTTCTGGAGTGTGAATAGAACGTTGAGGTGGCACAGTTCTTTTGGATACACAGTTCTGATACATAACAAAGGCGTAAATATTATTTTATCTGTACTATATTCCTGATAGCGAAAAATGACAAATAATGATTAACTAAGTAATTACTTATCAAATTTTTTCAATATTTTTTTCTATAATATGTTGCTATTAATAATATTACTGCAGTTTTGCGACAAAATCAATAAAAAGACAAGTTTTATATCTTTTATTAGTTTTCTCATAAACTTAATTATTTATTTAAAATGTTGTCAATCTAGGATCATTGAATGCAAAAAGAAGTATTATAATAGTTCCTTAAGTCAATTTAGATGATATGAACACACCAAAAATTGCTTTGTCCGGTAAATACCGGTGTTTTCGCTTACAGATCAAATACGGCTTTTCATATGGGCATCTACACAGTACACTATATACGGTAATGGGGAACCAAGGAGCTATTTGATCCATTACCTTGAATTATTATTGATTATGAAGCACTTATTTAAATGCATTCACTGTTATTTTCACTAACCTAAATTTGATTCATTTTCATAACTTCCGAAGCTACAAATATGTCGAGCCAATCGAAGAAGATTAGTTGAACTCGGCAAAATGGACTTGTGATTATAAAAACTCATTATGTTTTCGACAATTTTTTCCAGATTGTATTAGTGTTTAGAGAGTGTTTCGTACCAACACCGTTCAAATGCATTCTTGACTTTTTTTGTAGAATATTTGTTGTTTTTTTGCTGGGGTAAGTTCAAAATAATGTCGACTGGTTTGACATAGTTTGTTGCGACGACAAAAGTTTTTGACAAAAATTTTTGAAGTGTAATACGCGTTATGTATCACTGATTATGCATAATTCGCATAATCAAATAGATCCCAAATCGATCTACATATGTATTTCTGCGTGCCGTCTTTTTAAGAATGAGTTGATGTTTAGAGCTGCTCTAGAGCTGTGATTTAATTAACAGTCCGCAAAATCATTACCTGAGATGTTAACGTGATGCGGGTCCATATAATACCAATATATAGATATTTGTGGTCGAGTTTAATTTTATGTACCAGTTTGGAGTAATAACTCTTGTTGTTCGTATTTGTACAGAACCTATAGCCGAAGGTAAGTCACTTCAGAGCGCATACTTTCCATTTTTACAATTGAATATAACTAGAGCTTCATGGATGGCAATTAGTTCAGCAGAGAAAACTGAATTATATTCTGGAAGGTGTGAAGTTTTTATAATGTTAGTACATAAAGTTA